GAGGCAGGGTTCCATCTCAGGACCCTGAGATCATAACCTGAGTGGAAACCAAGAGTCCTGTGCTCAACCGGCTGAGCCACCCAGGTGTCCCAACCTAGGCATCATTTTTAAAAGTTTTCAAGAAAGCACATACATAATATGATCTCTGAATGCATTATAGTAAAAATGGTGTCCCATCCAATCTTACTTTTAAAATTAATATCTAGGGCCGCCTGGGTGGCCCAGTCAGTTAAGCCACTGACTGTTGGTTTCAGCTCAGGTCCTGATCTCAGTCAGGGTCATGAGATCAAGCCCTGACTCCATGCTCCGACTGGAGTCTGCTTGAATTCTCTCTTCCTCTCCTTCTGCCCCTCCCTGCCCCCATTCTCTCTCTAAAATAAATAAATAATAAATAAAAAAATAAATAAGTCTTTTAAGAAGAACCATTTAAATTAATACCCACTTTGCGTTTAGATGGTGATATATGAGGGAAATACATATGTATTTTGTGTTTCCTGTCTTGGTTCCCTCCTCCTGATTTCAATCTGACATGCTCAGGATTATATATGGTCCTTCTGGGATAAACACTGTCCATCCACATCAGTATTCTACTCCCTACAATGTAATTAAAAGATATCCAAGAATAGGTAGTCCTAAGAAGAGGGAGGAGTATCATTGTGAAAGTCTAAATTAGCTACACCTATGGATAAAATCTGGAAGCAACCAAAACATCACATTTTATGGCTATTTTGGGTGAAACAGAAAAACTTATATTTAAGAGACAAATTATTTAGTTCCCAATTAGAGAAGTTGATTAGGAAAAAATCAGTTTTCTCCTCAGAGACATTTCCTCATCCAGATGGATAGAACCTTCCAAGAACTGAAAACTGGTGACTAGAAGAAAATAAAGTTTCTCAATGATTTTGCAAGTTCCCGAAAGAGAAAACAAATTTAAGATTGACTTGCCTTGAATCATACATTAAAATGTAGTTATAAACGCTGTCATTTTATATAACTGAGAATCAAATGCATGAATCCTTAATCAGGGGAAAGAGAATATTTCCTTTCACCGATGAAGCACTTTATAGAGATGTTTGAATCTGGCTCTTTTCATCAGATCTTTTCTTTTCATACGGTAGCTGAATTTTCATTAAGAGAAGAAAAAGGCAAAGAACTGTGATCAAAACTTCTCTTTATTTACCCAAGCTTAGTCCTGGGCAGTGTCAGAGCTAGGGAAGTATTCTGTGTAAGGTATAGAAGGCAGTTCTCTCTCTCTTTTTTTTTTTTTTGGCCAATATGGTATATGATCTAGGACTAAAGTTGGAGGGGCTATATGCTGAGCATTCATTTAGACCCAGAAGATAAAAGAACAGATACTATTAATAACTTAGTTGGTAGAGCCATTGGATTCACAAATTGTTGAGAAAGTGAACAGAATTTAGTAAAGCCAGAAAAGATCCTCTGAACTAAATTTGAAGATCAGAAATAATTACACCTTAGTCTTGTTTCAAAGTTGCTTTTATTTCTGGGCTATTGGAAACCTTTTACTCTTTTATTGGAAGACAGTGTTCAAAAACCTCTTTATCTGGATATTAAGTACAGGACAAAGAAGGTGCCAAATGTATAGTACTATCTACTGTGGCCACTTTTTGGAATTCCCATACTGAAAGTCTGGTACAAGGTGAAAGGGATGACTTCCTATGTTAATGGTAATTTTTAGTAGTCTTCTATGAGGACTAAATAAGTTAATTATTGTGAATTATTTCCAATATCTCTAATATCCTAATTTTCAGAAAGTAAGAGAAATTAAATGGCCCCTCCCCCCAAATACACTAAATAACCTGACTAGACCCTAAGGAACTTGTAGGTAGAGTCTGTTTCTGTTTTATTCAGAGTTGCATCTCCAGCACATAGCACAATACCTCACACATAGTAGATGCTTGAATAACATTTGTTGTATGAGTAATTTTTAAAAGATATTTGGGAAGTCAGTGAATTTTTCAAGGACTTGTTTACTTGGAACTTATCTGTACACTGAAATTCAAAAGAACTAGCTACATTCAGAAAAAACCAGGGCTTTAGAATTCTGATCTCCATAGAGCCAATATATTTTATTTACTGGTCTTCCTTCATTTGTTGAGATTTCTGGAAACTCAGAATTGTAAAATAATATATTAATCTCTCTTTGGGTTCCAGTTGCACATGCTCACATCTTTGATTTCAGGGATAAAGAAGAAATGAAATACAAGTAATTTATAAAAGCAGTGTCAACTTCCCAGACCTTCTGTTCATCAAATTAGCTTCCTGAAATTGGTATTTGAAGTCCCTGGCCTCTAATTGGTTATTCTATTGAATTTTTGTTAGTCCTTATGGTATCAAAATTAAGTGAAATTTGCAAGATCTGAAAATCTTTGAATAAACTTTAAAATGGCCAGTCATGAATTTATTTTCAAAATGCAATTCTAGGTAGTGTGCACTCTTTTTTCCCTCTCTGAAAACACATAAATTCATAAATAATTGAAATATTTCCTTGACATTCACAATCTATTTTTTAACACTTCAAGCAAAGAAATGAAAATTTCAAACTTTTATGTAGGTTTGTTAAAAAACTAAACTATACTCAAATACCAGTCATTAAAACTAATGAAGCAAGTTAAGTTAGCATAAATCTTTTTATAAATCTTCCTTTTATAAATCGTTTTATAAATTTTCCTTAATCCTTAAATATGGTTTCCTTATAAATGAGGACTTAAAAAAAGTCAAAGTTCTTTTGCATATCCCACTACTTTTATTCTTTATTTATACTTGCTTTACAGAGTAGTTTGCTATATATTTTAAAGCTAGAAATCTGTTAGTTGTAATTCAGAGTTACTTTTATGTCTAATACTGATATTCTTAGCCAATAGTTTGGTTGAACATAGATTTTTGAATTTAAACTCATTTTCCTTCTGTTCTTTTGGTATTCAACATTGTTGATAAAAAGTATGAAATCAGTATAGTTGTCATTCTTTTATCTGTAAACTTCTTTATTCTGTTGTTTTTTTTTTTTTTTTTTAAGTAATCTCTAAGCCCAATATGGGGCTCTAACTCATGACCCAAGATTAAGAGTTGTGTGCTCTACCAACTGAGTCAGCCAGGTGCCCCTTCTTTACTCTGCTTTAGATTTTTTCTTTCGTTTTTCTTGATGTTCTGGTACTTGCTAGGTCCCAACCTGAGATTTACCCAATATACTGATTTTTTTTTTTGTTTCAGTAAGTTTAGGTTTTTGGTTTTTTTTTAAACTTCCATGTGGTCAGTTTTCACAACAGCTTGTTTTTTTTATTCACAATTGTTATTTCCTTCTTTTTTGTTTGAGGAAATTAAATGTCTTTTACTCTTAAGTTCTTTCCATATTGTTCTGAATCTCTATTTTTTAAAAGATTTTATTTATTTATTTGACAGAGACACAGCAAGAGAGGGAACACAAGCAGGAGGAGGGAGGGAGAAGCAGGCTTCCTGCTGAGCAGGGAGCCTGATGCGGGGCTCATCCCAGGACCCTGGGATCATGACCTGAGCCGAAGGCAGCCGCTTAAGGACTGAGCCACCCAGGTGCCCCTGAATCTCTATTTCTTATGTTGAGTCTCTTTCTATCTGTTGAGTCCATTTTTCATTCTGTTAGTCTTCCTCATTTGCTTGGTGATATTTTATTGACAACTCACCCGCTTTTGGAGGTTTCCCTCATGCCAGTACTGATGGTTGGTAGTCTTGTGGAAGAGAGGAAGGAGTCCTCTCAGGGTGGTTCCAGCCCCAGGCTCTACAAATCCAAGCCTTAATTAAGAAGCTTAGCTCAGCTCTGTCACACACAGGTAGAAGTTTGAGACCAATACCTAAGGATGTGTTTGATCTGGGTCCCAGTCTCCCTTAGATGGTCCTGTTCTGCATTTGCTCCATGAGGCAAAATCATAGAGAAAGTCACCCTCTGCCTCTTGTTAGTCATGGTAATGGCTGGGGCTATAGACATGGGAGCTAATGGAGACATTTTTTACTTTCCAATCTGCAGAGTAAACAAGCTGGTTTTGAGGAAAATCAAGTTGTAACTGAAATAATTGATACATGGGGATTACCTACAGGAACAAAAATCAAGGTCTTGATTAATATATATGACAGTGTTGCACATGGTAGTGCTGGATGACCAAGAAAATTTGCTGCAAAGCTATCTTATGTTACGTACTGAGCTGGCGCCACACAGAACAAGATGGTTAGTAACCTGGATGGCAATCTGAGTTAGAACTTGGTACTATTTTATCAATGATTCAAAGCTTCATAGTACTTGATGTTTAGCATGTGGGCCCACAACCTGGAAGTATGGAGAACTGAAGCATATCTAGCCTCCAAAGTCATAGGCACAGCCAGGCACAAGCTATTACTATTATTCAAGACTAGAAGTCACCTCTATTTGACATGGTCTAGGACCTATCCCAGCTTGACCTGTCATTCACTGAACCTCCACAGATGTCTACTCAGCTGACAGGTTCTCTGTCCTCTTGATCATTGAGTTCACCCCACCATCTTCCTCTTTCAATTCTCTGCTCCTGTTCAGTGATGCTCAGTTGTGGAGGATGAACAGGGAACCTTTAGTGGACTACTGCTCATAAGGCCATTTTTTTGAGCACTTGGGGGATATCAACATCATTTGGACTTAGTTGCAGAACTATTAATGTGAAAGGTTTCTGACTGGAATGTCAGAGACAAATGGGTTCAGATTTCTGAAGTCAGTTGTCTCCAGCTAATATGGGTTGTCTATGAGGAAAAGCTTTGATGAGAAACTCAACTTCTAAGACAATTGATGGTTTATAAAAAATTATAATTCTGTTGTCTAAATATTGTCATTTTAAGGTGGGTTTTTTTTACCTAAATTTTTTTTATCTTTGGGGAAATGGATTTTTTTCATCCTAAATGTCTTACCCTATTCAAGAAGATTTAATCAGTAATCAAAAACTTTCCAAGAAAACTTTTAAAGAAAGACCCAGAACTAGAATTCTACTGCATGTTTAAAAAATTAACACCAGTCCTTCACAAATCCAATTATAAAAAGAGGAGCAAGGGCCATTTCCCAGTTCACTCTATGGGACCCATATTATCGTGATGCTAAAACCAGACAAAGATAATACAAGAAAACTATATACCGTATTCCTTATGAATATAGATGCAAAAATTCTCAACAAAATATTAGCAAACTAACTCCAGCAACATATAAAAAGGATTATACACCATGACCAAGTAGAATTCATCCCATAAATTAAAGGTTGGTTTAACATATGAAAATCAATCAGTGCAATACACCATATTACCATCTCAGTTTACACAGAAAAAGTGCTTTACAAAATCCAATGCCTTTTCATGATAAGAACACTCAATAAGCTAGGAAGAATAGGGAATATCCTCAACCTGATAAAAACCCACAGCTAACTTCATATTGAATGGTGAAAGACTTTCTCCCTAAGATGAGGAATGAACAAGGATGTCTCCTCTCACTGCTTTATTTAATACTGTACTGGAAATGCAGCCAGGGCAATTAGGCAAGAAAAAGAAAATAATTCAGATTGGAAACGAAGAAGTTAAAGTATATTTGTGGATGACATCATCTTGCATAAAGAAAATCCTAAGGAGGTATGCCTGGGTGGCTCAGTTGGTTGAACGTCCAGCTCTTGATTTCAGCTCAGGTCGCCATCTCAGGGTCCTGGGATAGAGCACCGCATAGGGCTCCTGGCTCAGTGGAGAGTCTGCTTCCTCTGTCTCTCTCTCCCTCTGCCCCTCTCCCACCCCCTACCCCTGCTTATGCACACTCTAAGTAAATAAATAAATAAATAAATAATCCTAAAAAATTAATTGCATTTCTATACATTAGCATTGGAAAATCCAAAACTGAAATGAAAACAATTCCATTTATGATAGCATCAAAAAGAATAAAATGCTTAGGAACAAGTTTAACAAAATTGCAAGATTTTACACTGAGCACAACAAAACATCATTGAAAGAAATTAAAGAAAACCTAAGTAAATGGAAAGTGTTCATGGATTGGAAGACTCAATATTGTTAAGATGGTGATACCTCCCAAATTGGTCTACAGAGTCAATGCAATCCTTATCAGAATCCCAGCAGGCTTTTTTTTTTTTTTTTTTTTTTTTGCAGAACTTGGCAAATTGACCTTAAAATTCATATGGAAATGCAAGGGACCCAGGAGAGCAAAAACAGCCCTGAAAAAGAACAACAGAGTTGGAGAACTCATACTTTCTGGGTTCAAAGATGTATGATAAGTTAGACATTAGATTTTGAACATTTTGATACATTAAACATACAAATACTATCTTTTTATTTAGTATGTACTACAAGGAATTATTAGAAATTATCTTAGATTCCACCATAAATTTCTCAAGTCAAATTCTCATTATTTAGATATCTCCTTTCAAAATTTACATTTCAATAAATGCGATTTTATTTGCTTATTTATTTATTTGAGAGAGCACGTGACTGTGAGTGGGGAGGGGCAGAGGGAGAGAGGGGGAGGGGAGAGAGAGTCTTAAGCAGGCTGCACACTCAGCATGGAGCCCAGTGCTGGGCTCAATCTCAGGACCCTGAGATCATGACCTGAGCCAAAATCAAGAGTTGGACACTTACCGACTGAGCCACCCAGGTGTCCCAATAAATGTGATTTTTAAAACTATCTTAAAGGTTTAGTTTGGAATTTTAACTGATATTAAATTTTAGTTTGCTTTCACCAGTGAGCAGTATCATTTGCTTTATAGTTATTTCACTCAAATTGCCAGCCAATGTATCTAATTTATCTATCTAGTAGATCTCAAAAATTTATAAGAATTTCTAACAAAATCCATAAACCATCAATATTGACCAATTATTAATGTTAGCTTAATATTTTGAGATAATACTATTGAAGTTTGATTTAAGGAACTAAAAATACTAGTTAAAATCTAATTCCTATTTCACCAATTAATCTTTCTCTCAACAACTAATGTTTAATTTCCCTCTACTCTCCCCCTTCACATTAAGAACAAAACAGCCCTCAAGTCATCATGAAGTTTAAAAAAAGATTCTCTCACTTTTTTCTAAACAAGTGAGAGTATTCAAAACTTCAGAGTATGGATTTTGCATTTTGAACTTTTGGCCTACTTGTATTCAAATTCCTTTAAAATGATTTTTATCTTTTCTTCAAGGAAATTTAAAGTTCTTGCCTATACTATACTTTACCAGGGAGGAATCAAAACTATTCTCTCTCTCTCTCTCTCTCTGTAAAATCAACATGGAAAAAATACTTTAAAAGTCATGTTTCAGGTCTGGTGAAAATTGTGTAAGTTGTTGTAGTATGAATCCTTCAGGATGGATAATGCAACTTTCCTGACTGGAATAGAATGTTTTTTCAGGAGGTCACCCTTGATATCATTAATTCCTCCTCCATGCAAGTAAAACATAATAGATTTTCTTTCTAAGTTTAGCAATTTCTTGAGGGGAATAATTCATGATGTAAGACTGCCCTCTTAAGTCGTCTTTCTTGCTTTTAACTTTACACCCTAATAACATTTCAAAAGATCCATACATAGATATCTTTTTCTCCAATAATCAAGGCTACAGGGAATTCATAATATGTGTCACTTATTTTTTTTTATCTAATTAATGATCTCAACAAAACACTACTGGTTTCCCTTCCAGTTTCTAAGTTTTGTAAGCACCTCTTTTTCCTGGTGTCTATCTCTAAAGGAAGACAGACTGTTTTAAAGATTCTTATATTAATTGCAGACTTGAACACAAATATATCACCTATGATATCTCTGTAACCAAGTCAAGGCTGAAGTTTGGATCCAAATTATCTAAAAAGTTGTTCACTTCTCCAATTCCACTTATGTGGATAGGAGATTAGATTCTGGAGCCACACTAACAGTTTGAATCCTAGCTTTGCCATTTCATATGGTGTGTGATTATGGGCAGGTTATTTAAACTCTCTATACCTCAATTTCTTCATCTATAAAATGTGGCTAATAAGAGTGTCCACCTCATAGGATTGTTGGGGGATAAAATGAACTAATATGTGTAAATACTTAGAATAATATCTAGCATATAGTTGCACATATGTGTTAATATTATCTAAATTTCATTTGCTTTGCATTGACAAAAAGGAACTGAAAAGAGCTGATTTGCAACACTATTTCAGTGTCAACATATAGCAATAAGTAAACAAAATATAGTTTGGTTTGAATTTTGTTCTGAACACTTTAACTTGAATCTAACTAGAGCTTGGTTATTATATTATAAGCAGTTTGCTCTTTGTTTTGCCCAGGGTATTTGTTTTCCATTTATATCTAAAATAATATTTTTGCTTTTTGCTCTTTTCAGTGTTTTATCATTTTTCATTTCACTTAATGGTCATATATATTGTATTCTCTGATTTGCTTTAAATGTGAAAGAATTCTAAAGTGTATTAATATTATTACCATTGCTATGTCTCTTATAGGAATTAATTACTAGAACTGGAATCAAAGTAAATTTAATTGAATAGTACTTAGCATGTATTATACTCTCTGAGAATTCTGTGTTTATTTTCAGGCATGTTCATGGCTGAATATATGATCTGGCAATAATCTTATATAAATAGAAACATGATCATTAGAATGGATTAATTTATTTATTCATTTGACATTTTTGACTGACTACCATAATCCAAGATTCTTTCAAGAGTATGTTTCTAATACTTTCTGTCACTCAGAATTTAAGTATTAACATGCTTTTAAAATAATTCATTCAACATGAATTATAATTTATTAAGTCAATTAAGTAATTAAATGAAATGCCAAGATATTTAAGAAGGGAAAATCCTGTATGTGCCAAAATAAGTGGTACTCCACTCAATATACTAATTGTAACCGATAAACTGCTTAACTGTATCTCAGTTAACTTACTATATCAGGGCAATCACAATAGCTGCACACTGTGCTGGAATCCATTTTATAAATAAGCCTCTCCTCTTTATGATATATGAATAGACAAGGCCTGAGGCATCCTTTGCTCACAGATTAAAATGCTTTAAATCAGGGCTTCTTATTTGGCCCATATCAGCTGCTTGAAGAATATGGTATCTGGGATACAAAGGATGAATATAGTAAGAAGTAAACTTATTATAATATAGAGATATCTATCTAAGTAAGTTTAAACTTAAAGCCTTTACCTTAACAAAATTTAATGATTCTTACTCACTTGATTTTGTCTTTATATTATTCTGATAATAGTCAAGTAATCAAGTCCTATTACCCTCTGAGCTTCAGTTTCCTTATCTGTAAAACCCGTTTCATTTCTTATCCGGGTCTGAGAATCTGACTGTAGTACTGTTTGATTTCCTTTTAAAATTAATGTGAGTTCACACTGTAAAAGGATTTATAACAAAGCAAGATGCCTCTTCATTCAACTATACTACTTTTTGTATAGCAGTGTAGGGACATAGAAGTTTCCCTTTGAAAAATAGTCTCCCTGAGATCACGTGACACCAAACACCTTAACAAACTTTTGCATAATCATAAATTCCTCACCCACTTGGAAATAAACAAATATTAACTATTATGAATTACAATTTTAGAAGAATTTATCTCCCCTGGTTAGATTACATAAAGGGGAAATGGAGTTCTTTGAAGTTCCACTGATTAGAGTGTGGGGAGACCAGGGTATCCTCTTGCTTTGTGCTCACAATTACTCTAGCTCATGCAATATAATGTGTAACCTTATAAATAATTCAATTTAATGGGAAAAAAAGTTTGTGAAAGTTCTAAACACTTTAAAAAATAGCTTACATTTGGACACCACCAGAATGTACTTTGACTTGAGAATATTAATTTCTCAATCGAGACGCAGGGTGGCGCTGCAGGCTAAGATTGTGAATAAAGAGCCCTAAAAAGCTCGCGCACTCCTTTGTTGCAAAAAGGAATCAAAAATACACGCGAGGAGCTTTGCCAGCCGTGCTGGGTTACCAGCGAGTTTGGACTGCGATATACTAAACGAATTTAAGATTAAAAGCAACTTTGTGAGGACTCTAACAAACAAGAAATCAGAATTTTGTATCTCTGTGAGTGCTAGAAGGGATTGGATGTAAGCACCGGGTCTCCAATATGGAGACGCTAGAGAGAATTCAACCAAACAGGCAAGTGATGGTCTTTATTTTGATGGTGTTCTTGTCTCAGGCTCTTGCTCAGCCTATTCGTTATTCTGTGATGGAAGAAACAGAGAGTGGCTTCTTTGTAGCCCATCTGACCAAGGATCTGGGCCTGGGAATTGGGGAACTGGCCGCCCGGTCGGCCCGGGTGGTGTCTGATGATGACAAACAGCGCTTGCAGCTGGATCGTCAGACTGGAGATTTGCTTTTGAGGGAGAAACTAGACCGGGAAGAGCTATGTGGCCCTATTGAACCGTGTGTACTGCATTTCCAAGTGTTCCTAGAAACGCCGGTTCAATTTTTTGAAGGAGAATTATCAATCCAGGACGTAAATGACCACTCCCCAGTATTCCCGACTGGGGAAATGCTCTTGAAAATACCGGAAAACAGCCAGCCAGGGACTCTGTTTCCGTTGAAATTAGCTCAGGATTTGGATGTGGGCAGCAACGGTCTTCAAAAATACACTATCAGCCCCAATTCTCATTTTCATGTTCTAACTCGAAATCACAGTGAAGGTAAGAAATACCCAGATTTGGTGCAGGACAAACCGCTGGATCGAGAAGAGCAGCCTGAGTTCAGCTTAACCCTCACGGCACTGGATGGTGGGTCTCCACCTAAGTCTGGCACCATCACAGTGCGAATCCTGATCATGGACGTCAATGACAATGCTCCAGAGTTTGTGCACACCCCATATGAGGTGCAGGTCTTGGAAAACAACCCCCTAGACTCCCCAGTACTTAGTGTCTCAGCTAGAGATGTAGATGCTGGACACTTCGGGAGTGTTTCCTATGGCTTGTTCCAAGCATCAGATGAAATTAAACAAACTTTCTCAATAAATGAAGTCACAGGAGAAATCCGACTGACAAAGAAACTGGATTTTGAACAAATTAAATCTTACCACGTGGAAATTGAGGCTATAGACGGAGGAGGTCTTTCTGGAAAAGGCACTGTATTCATAGATGTGGTGGATGTGAACGACAACGCCCCTGAACTTACCATATCTTCACTCACCAGCTCCGTCCCAGAAAATGCTCCTGAGACTGTAGTCTCTATCTTCAGAATTCGAGATCGAGACTCTGGAGACAATGGAAAGATGATTTGCTCTATACCAGATAATCTGCCGTTCCTTCTGAAACCGACTTTCAAGAACTTTTACACCCTAGTAACAGAGAGACCGCTGGACAGAGAGAGCCAGGCCGAGTACAACATCACCATCACCGTCACTGACCTGGGGACGCCCAGGCTGAAAACCCAGCACCACCTAACGGTGACGGTGTCCGACGTCAACGACAACGCCCCGGCCTTCAGCCAAAGCGCCTACACCCTGCGGGTGCGCGAGAACAACAGCCCCGCCCTGCACATCGGCAGCGTGAGCGCCACGGACAGAGACTCGGGCGCCAACGCGCAGGTCACCTACTCGCTGCTGCCGCCGCACGACCCGCAGCTGCCCCTGGCCTCGCTGGTGTCCATCAACGCGGCCAACGGGCAGCTGTTCGCGCTCAGGTCCCTGGACTTCGAGGCGCTGCGCGCGTTCGAGTTCCGCGTGGGCGCGGCCGACCGCGGCTCGCCGGCGCTCAGCAGCCAGGCGCTGGTGCGCGTGCTGGTGGTGGACGACAACGACAACTCGCCCTTCGTGCTGTACCCGCCGCAGAACGGCTCGGCGCCCTGCACCGAGCTGGTGCCCAGGGCGGCCGAGGCGGGCTACCTGGTGACCAAGGTGGTGGCGGTGGACGGCGACTCGGGCCAGAACGCCTGGCTGTCGTACCAGCTGCTCAGGGCCACGGAGCCCGGGCTGTTCGGCGTGTGGGCGCACAACGGCGAGGTGCGCACGGCCAGGCCGCTGAGCGAGCGCGACGCCGTCCAGCACAGGCTGCTGGTGCTGGTCAAGGACAACGGCGAGCCGCCGCTGTCGGCCAGCGTCACGCTGCACGTGCTGCTGGTGGACGGCTTCTCGCAGCCCTACCTGCCGCTCCCGGACGCGGCGGCGGCCGAGGCCCGGGCCGACCCGCTCACCGTCTACCTGGTGGTGGCCTTGGCGTCGGTGTCGTCGCTCTTCCTGTTGTCGGTGCTGGGCTTCGTGGCGGTGCGGCTGGGCAGGAGGAGCCGGGCGGCGTCGGGGGGCGGCTGCTCGGTGCCCGAGGGCCCCTTTGCGGGCCACCTGGTGGACGTCAGCGGCGCGGGGACCCTGTCGCACAGCTACCAGTATGACGTGTGTCTGACGGGAGTCCCTAGGACTGGTGAGTTCAAATTCCTCCAGACGGTATTTCCCAGCCTCTTGATGGAGGACACTGAGAGAGAAATTCAAGAAAACCCCAACTGCAGGAATAGCGTTGTATTCAGTTGAGTGTATTTGGTCAAGTCAGCCTCTCCTTAATTTTGGCAAACCTAACTCCCATTGCAATGCCTTTCTTTTAAGAAATTTTGTTGTCTAAATATGTATATCTCTATTCCAAATCTATGCATGTCCCTGATTGGGCTAAATTTTCCTCCTTTTATTAATATTCATTGGACTTAGCATTTTCAGTTACACTGGTTATGGAGTATGTATATTCTCTATATTTGACCTTCTCTTGGTGATTAATCTTTCCATAACCATAAATTGCTCAAGTACTTTAAGAAATTTTTATTTAAATCAACTCTTTACTGTCTTAAAGCTTTTGTGTAATTGTGCATTTCTATATATTTGTGGTGTTTGTCTCTACCATTAGCTTTATCTTTAGAGTATTTGAAATTCTTTTAGCTACCTAGGCCTTTTTGACTATCCTCCAGGCTATGCCCCTGAAAAGCCATGAGCGTATAACTTAACCTACTTGTTTCTCTGAAATTGTACATAAACATGCATTTTGATTAAAATATTAAGACACTAAAATTGTGACTTCCTATTGTGAACGCCATACTTGCTAGAATTTAAAAAATGTATTTGACTGCTACTTACCTAGCATACTGTATGTGTTCCATAAATATGAATAATAAATTTAAAAAAATATTCTCATTTATAAATAATAATGAAAATCTTCTATAATTTGGCACGCTCACTAACCAAAACTAAGTCACTGCTTAGTAAAATCTTTTAAAACAATTTCAGAACCTTAAATAAACCTTAAATCCTTTCGAAGGATTCAAGATATGAAGGACATCATATCTTCCTTGTCCTTCCTTTTGCCCTATAAATAGAAGTTCAAGTGTAATTTAACGTGTATGTTTCTTTTGGTTTTCTTGCAGCTTCTCCCCACCTTTCAAAAGAGTCAGAGAATTTCTTCTGAGTTTCGGTTATTCTATTCAGGCCTATTCAAGGTTATTGGGTGATAGGAGATTTTTGCTTTAAATTACTTTGCAGACATGAACATCCTTTATCAACAAGATGTTTAATTTTTGATGTCCAAGTTATCTTCTGTTCAATGTAGCTTTGAGGTATTTTATGTAAATTTACTTTATCAATTATGCTAAATTTCATTTATAAGAAATGAGCATTATTTTGTCATTTTGGACAATAGAATAGAAATAGGAATTAAGAAATCCAAAGTATAATTGTTTTATGTTGTGTTCAATAAGCAAAGTAAGCTGATCATGTCGTTTCCAACTAAATTTATATCGATATAAGTGTAAAACCTCTTAATTGAACTTTTGGCACAATGTGAGCAATTGAAGAGCTTGCTTTATAATCTAAATATTTATTTTTAAATCTCAAGGGTCATCCTACTGGAATTTAATTATTTGTACTTATCCCTGAATTACTTTTTTTTGTGCTAAGGATATAATAATGACATAAATAAGGAAAATTACTGGTTAAGTTATTCTTGAAACATAACTTTCAGTCTTCGTCCAGTCTAAAAATTGAAATGAGAAAGTGATAAAAATGAGAACAAAATTAAACACTTAATATATACTATATATATACTTAAATAAACCTTAAATCCTTTCAAAGGATTCAAGATATGAAGGACATCATATCTTTCTTGTCCTTCCTTTTGCCCTATAAATAGAAGTTCAAGTGTAATTTAATGTATATGTTTCTTTTGGTTTTATGTATTTATAGACATAAATAGTACATATATATAGAGACAAAAATGGTAGACAACTTTAATGATTACTCCATTTACTAGCTATTTAAATGAATAGCTTTTATATATGATGATGAGAAATCTTATTGAAGTTTTCACCAGTATATTTCAACATTATGAAAATCCAAGTCCCCCTTTTTTTGTTTATGTCAGAAAAGTCCAATTTGTATAATTGCCCAAATGAGACTGACCAAATAAACACCCAAACCCACGTTTATGAATTTCTGTGTAAATTTGTGAACTACTTTGTGTATTATTTTACTGATTACTGTGTGTATTCATAAAGCACAGATCATTCCTTATACCAGACTTTGGTGTAGAATGGATCAATATTTTGAAATTCAATAATTAGAATTTAATAGTAAGTGTGATCCAAAAAACTTCCACAAAATGCATACCTTATGAAAAATCGGCCAGTTCTATTGTTGCAAAACAAAAATAAAGAATGGAGGCCAAATATTTTGATAATAACGCTCATTTTAATCCTATGTTTTCTCACATGCTTCTTTTATAAGTACATCTTCCCAGTTTTAGTGAAAAATAATTGAAATACATCACTGTGTAAATTTAAGGTATACAGCATGATGCTTTGAATTACATATATTGTGAAATAACTTCCACACACAATAGGTTTAGCTAACATCCATCTTTTATATACATCTTTTACAATTCCTTTATTATTTTAGGTACAGCACATAGTGAGTTGAACATATGCTGTTTGGGGGGCAGAACTTTTACTAAAGGCACTGTAAGGCCCACATCACTTCAAACCCCCCCTCTTCCTTTACTACTGAAAGTTGCAAAATACAGATTTTAAGCAGGCTGAGGCTAAAAGTTATGTAGTTGTTTGGTGGATGTCTGCTTCCAGGTAGAATGGATGGATTACCTAATAGCAGAAACAACCATAAAAACTTGTTAAAATTCAGAAATTATATGTTTGAAGCAACAGACAGCAGATGATATAATAAGAACTCAAAGGGATGGGGTGCCTGGGTGGCTCAGT